TCTACAACACTAAGTTCATTAAGTCCTTAAAGGGGGGGAAAGGGGGGGGGGGGGGGGAACTTGTGCACAAGACCAAGGGTCATCCATACTAAGGTCTTTTTTCTCAATCAACAAAACCTATGGACCATTAAAGAGCCATAACAAGCTCTCAAGTTCCTCAAACCCCAAGAGCATTCATAGAAGGAACCAAAACTATCCAAAAATGACATCAAACATTAATATAAAAGAAGATGTATCAAGGTGAGAACTTTATACCCCAAATAGTTGATAACGTAGATAATGATGGATCCAAACCAACTCATTGCTTACTTGTGAACTTCCTTCTTCTCAAGCTTCACTAAAATCCAAGGAATAAGCTTCAAATACAAAGAACAATCTCTCAAATCTTAACAATAGCTATGGTTTCATTGAAGAGGGGTTGTAGGCTGATGACAATGCCCTAATACTTGAGATTATGTATTTAAATATGGAGAAAAGCCTAAAAAACATGGGCTTAGACTGCATCAATTTTCATGTCATGGCCTTCCTCTTGCCACATCGTGGTGACCATCCAAACGAGCATTCATGCATTAGACATGCTACGTCGTGGCACTATACTTTTCCTTAAAATATCTTTGCATTTGATCCCTCAAATCCTTTATTTGATCCATTATAAAAAACGGGTGTTACATATTAAGTCCTTAATGGTTAAGTGCATAAATAACCAAAACAGTGAAATACGAGCTTAAACCAATTATTTACATTACCAAACAATTAATCATTCAATGGATTAAGAACTTTAACAAATGAGCTAATAAACATTACCCTTCTTCACATTAAGCTCATAGGAAGAGGTTTAAGGGTTTGGTCCTCAAAGAAACCCATTAAGCACTTAATACTTGATAAAGAAGTTGAAAATTGAGGTTCTCATCATCCTCCATGGATCGGTGGTGATAAGGTTGAGATATGGTGATCATTAGATGCACAAAACCTTCACATCAAGCTTACATCCATCAATGTTAAATTTAAGGAGAAATAGAATTTAAAGGCTTGAAACAAGCATATCTAGCCATGGAACATTGAAGCAATGAAGACCTCACTCCTAGGGTATTCAAAATCAGATATCCAAATTTTCGGATATCTAAAAATTTCAGATAGTTGATTATAATATCTGAATCCATATCCGAAATTTTGGATCGAATATTGATTCATATATTAATTCAGATATAAAAAAATTTCAACTTTTTTTTCCAATCTCGTTTGAAATCCAAGAAAATATAATGACATTTAACTAATCATTGTACAAAAAATATCTTAATCTCAATACTAGAAAAATTAAACAAGAAAAAAGGCTATAAACTAACTTACAATGTTGCTACAATGTTGTTGTGGACTCTTTATAAACATGATGTACACCATTATACGATATCAAGAATCTTTTGTTTGCATGGTAAAAGATTGATAGTATTAATTAATGATGAACCATTAATCTAAATATGTAATGTTCGGGATTTATAAGGTACTATTTTATTCATATAAGGTTAATAGTTTTAAAAAGATTTTTGGTTAGACCTTTGGGCCCTTAAGATTGGGCTAAGAAGTGTTGTACGCAGGGCGTACTATGCCAAGTACGCTTAACGTACTCAAGAGACTGGAACGCGGAAACCATGTACGTACGCCCAACGTACCAGGAGTACGTGTAACGTACATATGCAAAATATAAAACCCTAAATTTTAGGGGTTGATCCCTATAAAATGGACCTTATGCCTTTGGTCCAGCCTCCCTTTCACCCTTAGACAGACACCACGAAAACCCTAACCCATATTTGTGTGTTCTTGTGATTTGGAAGCCACTTGAGAGCCTTTTGGTGTTGTTTTGGTGTTTAGAAGAGAAAGAAGTTTGAAGAAGGATCAAGGATTCAAATGGAGCTTGTACATCCAAGAGAGTAGCACCATTTATGACTCATTTGAGGTATCAAGCTTCAAACTTTATCATTGCATGTTTAGATTTGATTTTGGGGTGTTTGATGTCACTTTTGGAAGCCATTGTTAAGGTTGTTTGAATCTTGATAGTTCCAGACCATAAAAACTGTCCTTTTGAGCTCTTAGAAGCACTTAGAATCATAAAAATCAGACATTGATGGTTAAGCCACAACCATGCAAGTGTTTGAAGGTCACAAAGTTAGGTTAAGGAACAAAATCATGTTTTGACCCCAACCATGCATGCAAGCACAAAAAGTTTGTGACTTTATGGACTAGGATACCTTAAAGGATCTGGATCTACATTCTGGACGTGAGGACATAATGGGTTAAGTCACAAATGAAGCCCCAAGGAAGCTGGCTGATACGATGTGCGTACTTGGTCAACTTTCCGTTTCGGTCAAGGCCAGTGTTGGGTGTACGTGCCAGGTATGACGCGCGTACGCATGCAGAGTGGCGAACTTGGGCTTTTGGGCCTTAGAAGTTTGGGTTCGGATAGTTTGTCCCCATGGCCCACTATGGAGCAGAGTTTTGGGCCTAGAACTGAGACTTAAAGTATTGGGCCTTTTGAGCCATATTGGGCCACTCAAAATTATTTATTTCGGGCTAAGGATTTACTAAGCTTGTGAAAAGACCCATTTGAAGAATTGGGCCCAATTTAGAAAATTAAGCCATTAGTAGGCCAATAGTGGGTTGAGAAAGATAAGATGGATTTGGGCCTTGGGTATGGTCCAGTTTAGACCAAGGGGTAATATGATCATTTTACCCTAGGAAGTATTATGGATTTTGATTAAATGTTGTTATGATAATGATAGTCGGGTAGTCAGTGGGGTAGCTGTTAGAGATTCCTTTCAGTGATATTCGACATTCAACTTTACAAGGTGAGTTGCCTTCCAATAGAAGTGGGTCGAAGGCACCAATATCGACTTACTAGTAATTGATTTTAGTTGAGATGGTTGTCATTATGATAATTGTCTGGTATGACACTATCTGTTATGAGTTATGTGCTAGTAGGCTATGATATTATGTGATAGTGGTAGAAAGGGTGGGATAGACCCCGTTATTGGTTGTAAGGACCGACAGGGTAGGTCGGGCACTCAGATATGTCTGACAGTATGTTATACTATGTTATTATGTGGTAGTGGTAGGGGTGAAATAGTCCCTGTAACCGGTTGAAAAAAACCGGGGTGTAGGTCCGACACCTAGATATGCCTAGTAGGGTAGGTCGAGCACCCATATATGCTTGATAGGGGTAGGTCGGGCACCCCAATATGCCTAACAAGGGTAGGTTGAGCACCCATATATGCTCAGCAGGGTAGGCCGGACACCCAGATATGTCTGACAATATGTTTATTGTATGGTATGTGGTATGATGGAGGAACTCACTAAGTTTTGTGCTTACGGTATTCAGTTTTGGTTTCAGGTACTTATTCCTCAAAGGGAAAAGAATCGGCTTGACTGCAACGCATCACACCACAATTTTCTAATTAATATTTATTTAATCATTTTTAATTAATTAAATCCCTTAAAATATTATATTACCTTATTTCTAGTTAATTAAGCTAAAATTTGACATTGCAACTCTCTCCCACTTTTAAGATTTTCGTTCCCGAAATTTAATCCTTTGAATAACTCAATCAGTTCCTTCACACTCTGAAACTCTTCTTTTGCTCCTTTCAGGGTACTCATGAGGCCATATATCTTAGCAATCGACTGCCTCTTTTTTTTCCTGCAGTGATCAGCTACATATGCCAGAAGCCCTGCACACCCGTGCAGAAAATACCTCTTGGCCTTCTCAGCTACACAAAAGTCGATAGGAACAAACTTCTAAACCCAGATATTTCAAAATTCCATAACTATAAATAAAAAACAAAGAACTTCAAAATGAGTGGGTAACTTTGTACACCAGGTGGTGTGTACTAGTAGCAAAAATGTATTAGGCTTGTAGGGTATCAACAAACTTTGCATGGATGTATACGTCATGTAGCAAAAATGAGTTGATGGGATGAAAAACTAACTACGCCTGCAACTTTGTTCATCCGGGGGTATAATGGTCACTATATGATTAATTTAAAGTGTCTATGACAACAACATGGAAAGTAATTCCTTATATAACATTGGCATGAATCCACCGTCTATGACTACACAAGCAAATCAACCCCTCATCTTCTCGTTTAAAAAAATTATAAGATTGTGCACAAGAATTTAATAAACATAGATCACAAGGTAATAAGTATTGTGTACTTAACATAGATCACAAGGTAATAAGTACTCTGTACTAGTGAAAAACTTGCGGACGACTGGAGTAGTTAGAGTAAATCGAGAATCATAATATTTGTATGATGACTTTGGATGATTAATTGAAGAAGATAAACACAGAAGACATGGATAAGAAGTGAAAGCAGAAGAAACGCTCTTAATAGGGCTAATTGAACCAAAGGGAAAGAAAAAAAACCGTGTTCCACTAGAAGGTGTTTGGATTAGATTTTTAGCTTATTACTTATAGCTTATTTGTGGTGGGAATAAACAATAAACAATAGATGTTTATTAAAATTAACTTATCTAACCTAATCATCTGGATTTTATCCAAACATTCAAATTAGCTTATTATGGAAATAAGTAATAACCATCTTTTTTTTTTTTTTCCTTTCAAACACCCCCCTTAGTTCCCACCTATTTGGGTGGGACTATTTGTGTTCTGTGAAGGTTCTTCCCTATATTAAAGATACGTATACATACAAAACTAATAAGTTTTTTCGAGGCTAATCAGTGGAAACGCTCTGACTCGCCAGAATCTGGGGACCCAAACAAGCTTTGATAAAAATCAGAAACTCAAAAATAAGCAACCAAACATGACAATAACTTTCATTTGTTGATCTCCAAATTCTTTAACAAAAAAAAAAAAAAAAAAATTATTTTACTATCAAAACAACATACCAAAATTTCAATTCAAAACTCATCAATCCTCTTTCCCTTGGTTCAAAAACCAAACACCATATTACAACTTCTTCACTTTCTTCTCCGATCCAAAAACTTCACCTTCACTTTCTTCCCGTTTTACCCTTGGCCGGACCAGCCGGTTTACCTTTCTGCCCTTTCCCACCCTTGCTACTCCCTTTACCTTTCCCTTTCCCTTTCCCCTTCCCCTTATCCTTAGTCATCCCTTGTTTCCTAGCATCACTCTTCATTCTCCTATCCACAAGCGTCTTCCCTTTTCCAGTCCTCACTTGCACGCCTTTCTTAGCCACCACCAGTTCCTTCTTCGGCCTCTGTGGGACCGCTTTCTTATACAAAGTATCAATCATCTTCATCTTCGATTTCTCCGAAATATCCGCTTGATCCGAAATACTATTCGCCTTCTTTCTAACCTTCTCCATTTTCCTCATCGCAACACGTTTCTTTCGGGCCTTCGCTTGGGCCACCTTCTTAGCGGGCCGAGCATTTATCTCCTTAAATTGGGCCTTCATTGCGTTCACCTCCTCTTTTGTTATGGGCTTCATTGGAACCATGTGTTTCCTCTCTTCATCTATGAACCATTTCGGTAGCCCTTCATCATCGTGAAACATGTATTTGTTGTACGCGTCATCCAACATTTGTTCTCTTTGTTTCTTTCGCAACATTTTCTTTGCACATGCTAAGATTTCGGCTTTTGTTTCCACGTCATCATCGGACTCGTCCGATGATGAGTCATCGCTCGAGTCTGTGTCCGGGCCCGCGACTACCTCAAGATCTTCAGTGGGTAGGGTTTTGGGGGCTGTTATGTTTTTCTTTGCGATTTTTGATTTTGGTTTACTTGGGACCATGATTTGGGTGTTATCGGGTTTCTTTTTGTTATCAATTTGCATTTCGTCTTCTTCATCGTCATCGCTTACATCCATTTTTGTATTTTCTTGTTCGTTTTCATCATCAAACACATCTTGACTAAACCATTTGGCTGCGATTTCTTCTTCCGTAGGCTCGGTGTCATCAAATGGTATCATTAATGGATTTGTTTCTTGAATTTGTTGGTCGTTGTCAGAGTCTTCATCTTGAACATCTTCTTCTTCTTCATCATCACCCTAAGAATATAACAAAACATGTAAGAAACTAAGAACAATATTTCATTTAAAAAAATATATATATAAATATAAAACCTCGAGAAGTTGACCATCTTCAGAGTGTTTTTGCTTCAACCGTTTTCTCTGCTTTGTGCTCCCTTCTTTCTTTTCCATGTATTTCTCATACGCATCTTCGAGTAATTGTTCCATTTGGTCATCATATCTGAAAGCAAGATATGGAATTTAATTAAAGTGACATACTTTACTCAATCTGCCAATATAGGTAATGTACTTTATTTTCACCCATATTTGTATCTTTTGCCCTAAAAATACAAGAATTATGGCATTTTTTTGGAGTAGGGTTTCACCTTCGGCGCTCTTCTTCAGAGTCAATGTCACTGAGTGACTCATCTTGGGAGTCTGCTTGGGCTCCCTCATCATCACTATCTGCTGCTTCATTATTTGGACCATCATCTTCAGGGTTATCAACAGCTACAAGATCCTTCTTTCCCTGAATGACAAAAACATATACATTTGTAAGTTTACTTCAAATGCATCAGTATCTGATTGAAATGTATATTAATATAAAAGGATAAAAATCTGACCTTGATAGAAGATAGAGAAAACAACTCGATATCAGTATATCCATCCTCCATTACATCACTCTGCATCCCAGTTGCTTTCCTTGCTTTATCCTACAGTAACAGATTTGATTTTCATGTTAATAAATACATTATACTGAAGTGAAAATTGCTTTCTATCTGAAAGACAGCTATAATTGGGTACATTATTTAAAAAATAATGTTATAGAAGGTATAAAATAATGTAAGTACAGTGCTTTCTTGCAATTAACCCAAAATAAAATTAGTGATCAAACCTTAGCTCGACGTTTTGCTACAATCTTTTTTGCTTGTTTTTTCTTGCGCAACATAGCATTTGTCAATTCCTCCATTTCATTCAGTCCTTCATCATCATCATCATTATCATCATCCTTCTTTTCAGGTTCAACATCTGCAGGTTTAGGGGTTTCCTTTTCAGGAGAGAAGGCCTTTCTGATATGAATACGCCACCTAAACATTCCAACAAAACACCAACAAAAAAAATACTTTCAAAATCAAGAAAAGGGAACCTATACATGTATGTGGTGAAAAGAAAAAGAAAGGAGAAAATGCTCTTTACTTCAACAAATGCTTGAAGTCTTGCTTCCCTAAAACACGCAAGTCATCACATAGTGCTTTAACCTGGTAAATCAAGAAATCTGGAACTGTTAACAAATGTAAAACACAATAATCACATCAAGAATAAAAAAAGAAAAGAAAAAAGGAGCTTATGACATTACCTCCTCTGTAGTCAATGCATGATCCTTGATAGCTTGACAGGTGTCATCTTTGAATTTTATAGATGTAACAGAACCAAGAATATCTAGAGGAGCATCTGACCAAATAAACTCTGTAACTGAACTGGTTTTCCTCAAGGTCGTGTCACCATCTTCATATCTGATACATTAAAGTAGTTAGCAACAAGCCAACAACTTTAGGGTTTAGGATTCAGTGTTTAGGGTTTAGTGTTAGGGGCTTACCCATCACGATGTCTCTTCTGCTTTGTTCCTCTAAGTACATCAAGTACCTGGATTTGTAATTTTCACACACAAGATGAAAGCTTTTTAGTTTTCTATTGACATAAGTTGGATAGGTTATCAGAAGTGAAGAGATATTTGTACCTTTGGGGTTTCTTTGCCACTTTGGAAAAGATGTCTAACATCAAAAAGACGAGGATCTATCTTAGCAGGTGCCTTATATTTCAGACATACGATATAAATTTCTGCAGATGTGGAACGACTGGCAGCTGGTTTATCCACTTCAACCTTTTCAAATAACTGTCTAAGACAGTAAAGAACAGCATTGTAGTCCCGGGATCTAAAAACCTGTTACAGATGTTATCAAGTGGTTAAAATCTAAGAACATGATGCTCTTTACATTGGAGTAAGTGAGGATAGAACATAGGATTGTGTGAATACATTTTAGCATGAATAAACAAATATAAAGGAGCATTAAAAAGCTAAAATGAGCTAACTTACACAAACAAGAAAAGCAAAAGGTTTTCGATCCAACAATTCAGATACAAATTTGTACCTCAAGTATGGAGAACAAAATTCTTTCAAATTAAGCCAAAAAGCTTTAGTGCACCAGGCTCATCTTTCTATTTAACATTGATAATGGGAGTCAAAAACATCAAATTTCCCTTAATCCCAAAGAAAGACTCGATTTAAATAAAAAGAAACTTGAAATGATTACATTTCATTACAACAAACCTTTTTTAAAAACAAGGAATCATCAACAAATTGAGGATATAACATAGAGGATGTTTGGATGTGTGATTAAAGTGGTCAGTTTTAAGTGTTCAATAAAAAGTGATTAAAATTGAGATTATTTAATGAAGAATGATCTAATTATCAATTTTAGGCACATGATTAATTATGATTATTGCTAAACATAACATAATCACGAATAGGTTTTGTTTTCAAATTTGCGAAACACTACTCGAGTTATAGAAATGAAAAGGTCGAGAGATGGATACCTTGGTAATAAATGCTCCTTTAGGGGCCAACAACTCCGAAGCAAGCTTAATCGAATCAATAACCAGAGAATTCTGACTCGTAGCCTCCTGCGCCCAAGCACCACCGACATTAGGAGATCCATCGTGCAACACCAAATCAAAGGCCCTAACACCATTATCAGACATCAATCTCTTAACAGTAGCCCTACACTTAGGCGTGGTAATATCTTCTTGCACCGCGATGGCGCCACGAATGGGGCGAATAGGGTCAAGATCGACACCAAGCACAAGACTTCCAACAGGCACACGTTCGACGGCGGCTTGCATCCAACCACCGGGTGCGGCGCAGAGATCCAGGACGGCGTGAGAAGAACGGAGGAAAGTGTATTTGGAATCGAGCTGAATAAGTTTCCAAACAGCACGAGAACGGTAGCCATGTTCTTTGGCCAAGTGGTAAAACTTATCCAAACGATGCTTTCCCTTGGCCTTTCCACCCATCGTTAGCTGCTACTCGTGGAGGAAGTAGGGTTTAGGGAAGGGGACGTCTGTTATTATGATGATTTAGGGTTTACGGGTGGTGGAGGTATTCAAAGCGGCGCTTTTGTTGTCTACCCTAAACTTTTATTTATTTCACTTTCGCCCTAAAAATGGCATAAGTTTCAAAATCCAAAGCTTTAAATTCATTATAAAAAAGTTAATGTATTTTTTGTTTTGTATACATTTAGTCTCTGATTTTTTTATCTACATTTGTTCTTCAACTTGTTAAACTGTATACATTTAGTCCTTATTACCGATTCCTCCAGGTTAGCCGATAAAAATAACTTAATTATTATATATATTAAAGTTCTCAACAAAAGAAATAGTAAACTTACCATTTTTTTTGCATAATTGGTCTCTGCACTTTGCTCCTTATTTTTTACTCATTTTGATATTTTTAGTCCTTGCAATCAATGCTTTTACATATTTTAGGAACTTTTTAATATTTAAAGTTTGACCACAAAACTTTAACGGTTTGACAACTTTGATACAATTTTTAAAAATTTGTTAATTCCTACCCCTTTAATTCTTTAGCCGTTTTGACACTTCTAATCCTTGCAGTCAAAACTTTTACATTTTTTCATAAAAACATGAAAAAAAAAACGTTTCGGGGCAAAGCCCGGGCTTTTCATTCTTGCACTTTCTACGTTTGTCATAATTATCAATTCGGAAACAACATTGAAAGCTTTTGGTCCCCGTGTAGCGGGGGTAACCTTTCTAGTAGGGTAATATATTTCTCACTTTGTACACATTTAGTCCTTAATATTTTTGTACATATTTAATCCTTAATATTTTTTTGTTACAAAATAAGTCATTTTTGTTTTTGTACTCATTCAGTACTTATGGATAATTTCTTTAGGTTTTTCTCATGACATCTTATGTGGGATAGTCATATGGTGGTGAGATAGGTTGAGGTGGTACTGCTATATACTGTAGGCCAAGATACCTAGTGTGGGTCGGTTGTAAGTCGTAGGCACAGAGGCTCGAGAAGAGCTGTTGGGTTAACGCGGCATGCCGACAGATCCTGTGTTTTCCAGTCCGATGACTAACTGGACATGTTGCATGTTGGCATTCCAGTCCGATAACTGATTGGCCCAAGTATTGGATTAGTGTCTAAGTCCATAACTATTTTGGTATGTACTTGACCCGATGGTGCATGGTCCTTTTGGGTTGCCTTCACCAAAGCAACTTGATTGGAGAAATGAATAAAGAGAGAGAGGATCATATGATTTATTAATATGTTATAAGAATAATATATTAAAGGAGAAATCATATTTATTTAATTAATATTGGTCAATAATTAATTAAGAATTAGTTTTGTGATCAAATGTAATTAATTAAACTAGAGGGGCTGATTTGTAATTATGTGATAGTTACAAAATAAGGTAAGGATTATCTTATTTATATGGTGGACGAATTTAAGGTTGGAAAGCCTTAGAATTCGAGTATGATAAGGATTCAAGGATTATCTTATTGGTTGCTTAATGGATAATCAACTAGATAAGGATAATGACTGAAACCCTATCTCTACACCTATATAAACACCCCTAGGGCCATGAATTCGTGTATCCCTTCCCAAGAGGTCCTAGATACGAATTCTAACCTCTCACCTCTCTCTTTATACCTTCTCCATTTGCTTATGGTGTTTGTAAGCCATTAGAGGAGTGACACTTGTGACTCTAAGCATTCCAAAGTCAATACAAGGAGATTTGGGATTGTTATTGCTACATAACAATCAAGGTATGATCTTAAACCTAATTACATGTTAATATGATTACTTGCATGCTAGAATTAGGGTTTATAGTCTTGGATTCAAAGCATGTACAATAGAGAAACCTAGATCCAAGCATTAGGGTTTGTATGAGCACATAGGATGTCTTATGACCAAAACCCATCAGTGGTATCAGAGCCTAGCTTGGTTTCAATTGTATTGATGCATTGTATAACTGGAAAATCGTTTTTTGGGCTTTATAGCTGAGGAACTCGGCGAGTACCACAGTGTACTCGGCAAGTAGACCTCAACTCGGCGAGTACAGTGAGGTACTCGGCGAGTTCGAGCGTCAGATAATGCTTATCTCGGGATTTCTTGCTGTTTTTGCATATGGATAGTTACCTTATCATGTTAGATCAATATAAATCCGATTTTATGATATATATGACTATATTCTTGATCTAATTAAAGATAATTATCAATTAACAAGATAATTGTTTCCTTATAAGATAATTGATTAATTATTTTGAGTAAATTGATAAATTGTTTTGCAAGAAATCATTAAACAAATCAAATATGGATAATTATGTAACTAAATGTTAGTTTAGATTATTTGTTATTTGATCCTTGTTGTTATGAAAAGTTTCATATTTTCCCCTTTAGGTTTTATAGTTTAAATTTGAACCCAAAAGTTTTGGAGTTTTGAAATTTAAATAGTTAAAACCCTAATGTTTTGAAAAAGGTTTCAAAATTGCCCTCAAGTTTTGGAATTTAAAAGTTGATTAAAAGTTTAATTAGAAATGTTAAATTCTAAAACCCTAGTAATGTTTTGAAAAGTTCAAATCACACCCTTATGGTTTTATTAATTAATTAAGGAGTATAATTAAAAGAGGTTTAATAAATCCATAAAAGTTTAGGTTAACCTTTTAATTGAATTAAAAGTGTAATTGTTAAAGTTAACCATATAGTATTTTAAAAGTATAAAATACACCTATACTATATATAACATTAAAAGTCTAACATTATATATATGTATGAGTAAAAGTCAGTCTTACCGTTAGTAGGCCTCATTCACGAAGCTGGTCTATAAGGGGTGTTTAAGGAAATTGCCTATAAAATGGCGATTGAATGGGTATCCACTCTTACCCACCGCACTCTTGACTAGTGGAGGGTCGTTAGCCGAACGGGTAGGATAGGACGAAACCTTCCATTATAAGTATAATGAAATACAAAGTAACTAAATGTTTTTCAAATTCCCAATCTTAGTTACTTAGGCAAAAGTGAATTGATGCAATTCCATGAAATTACACTTTGTGCCCTTGCGAAGACGTTAGTGGAGCGTGTGTGGTTTACCGGCACACTAAATGGTTCTAAGCAAAGGTAGCAAAGGGTGACTCAATGTTTGTCATAGTTCGGTGGAGCGTGTGTGGTTTACCGGCACATCGAATAGGTGATTGTAACATGTGAGGGCACCATGTAGTTTGCATGGTTATTCACACCCGCTTTGTGATCCTCGGCATCCCAGTCACAAACAAGAGGGGCATATCGAGATTTAAACATGCCATTGAAATGTTCAATGAATCTCAAAGGATCTAGGAGTTTTCATAGATTTAAAACTTAAATTTCTTTTTCGTTTTTCATGGTGGAAACTAGTGAATCGTCATTCACTTACCTTCAAATGTTCTGCAATTTGGGTTACGGCATCCCTCTCCCGAGTTGTAGGATATTGTGTTGGGTCCTAGCCTTGGAATTTCATTTGGGTGATTTACCAAGGACTCAATCAATCAACTAACTTGAATTCGTTTTTCTCCCGATGTCAAAGTTCGACAACTATGGTCTTCTCAAATCCCGTGGAACAAGCATTCCACATGAAGATGATATTCCACGATTCGATCGAGGAACAAGAAATCATGCTTCACTTCCTCCTCCTCCTCCAATTATTCTCCCTAACCCACAAGATTGTAAAATTGAAAGGTTCAATATCACTCAAGCCCTTTTGGCAAGTAAACATAAAGAGGGCAAGTCGGTGTGTGCACACGTCTTAGGGATGAAGTCACACATTGATAGATTAAGAATGATGGGATCCGTTGTCGGTGAAGCGATGGCTGTTGATTGGGTTCTTCAGTCACTTCCTAACTCGTATAGTGAGTTCGTAAGAGAGTACTATATGATGAACCACGACGTGACACTTATAGATCTCACCTACATGCTTATTGCTGCTGAATCAACAATGGTTTGGCGCAATAGAAAAGCAAAGTTGATTGGTGAATCTGCCTTCAAGACCTCTATGGATATAGACAATGGCAATGAAAGACATGCAATGATCGAAAAGTTTGATCATAAGAGAAAGGCGATGTCTGAAGTAGTTCCATGTGTTGTTCCAAAGGAGTCAATTTGCTTTTATTGCCAAGAGAAGGGGCATTGGAGACGAAGTTGCCCTATTTACCTAAGAGATCTAAGAGATGGGAGAGTCAAAAGTATGACTACGCTTTAGGTAAGAATCCACTATCTAACTCCATTAAGTTCCTATTCATTGATTCTTAATACATGATGTGATAAGATTGCATTTGAATGTTTTGAAGGATCGGTGAAAAGAAAGGAAGCTTGATAAGAGAGCAAGATGAATCTAATCACAAGAGATGGATCTCGATCTCATGGACTTGAAGATTGGATTTTGAGCTTAGATAGTTATGATAGAGTTGTTAGAAATTTTCTTTTACATAGTTTTCAATAGATTTTGCATTGTAAGGACAAATGTTTTCCGCTGCTTTTATAAATAAAATAAATTTTGTTTGACTTATTTATTATTTGTTTACTTCCTTGCAATGAAATCGTTATGTGAAAATTGATGTTTGCATATTTCTACAACGAATGGATATGATTCTTAGTTATGTTATTTATGGAAATGTCGAGAATTTACCAAATAGGGAGAGTTTCTCATCGCCCAAGTTTCAATTGGACAGAAACTTGGAATCATGCAACGTGGATGCACGATGAATGAGAAATTACGTATTTGGAAATTAGACTAATTCATTGACAAAGTGTCAAGTGAAGGACTAGGAGATCGAGTACACAAAGTTGTGTGTTGATCAAGTTCACCATAAGAGTAACAAAGATATTCGTCATGATTTACTAAAGGCTTAGTAAATATGATTACACTTACAAGATTAAGTGTAATTTTGAATTGATTAAAGGGTTTAGATCAATAGCAAAACGAATAAGAAGAATCAAGTAGGCAGAAAGATAAGAGTTTCTCCATTCTAAGAAGAAGGGAGAGTAGCTTTTATGCTTTATGATAGGTCTTAATGATTAAGAACCATATCTCAATTGATCCTCTAATGAGTCTTGGTACAATTGTATGTCCAAGAAGAGGAATCAAAGATTGA